AATATAATATAATATAATATAATATAATATATTAATTAATTAATTAATTAAAATAAATAAACAAAAAAAATTAGTTGAATGTATTCATACAAGATTAGTTTCAAGATTTGGCTTCTATTTTTTTTTATCTTAAAACTCAGTAGTCAACATGATAAAATAACTGCAATAATTTATTTAAAAAATGAATTAAAGAAAAAACTGAAAGTGTCTGCTAATTGCAGAAATTAGCCTTCAGACACCAGCTTTGATAATCAGAGGCTACTAATAAGCAGAAAAATCGTTGAATAGAGAAACACCGAATTTAGATGTGTGACATCTCACCTGTCTGACTGGTGGTGACGTTGACGGACACTAGTTGACGTGGACTGGGGCTGAGATCTGACACTCCGTTCAGGGCTTCAATGTTGAAGGTGTAATTGGTGTGAGGCTGCAGTTCTGTGACCAGAACTCTGGGGTGCGTCAAGCCAAACTGCCTGGGGTTGAAATGCGGACCGCTACCACAGGGAACGCACTTCTCACTGTCTCCTGCAGCCCCTGCTTCTCCAGAGCACTTCCTGCAGTGGACACTGTAGGTGACATCTCCACGTCCACCACTTTCACGAGGAGGACTCCATTCTAGTGTGACTGCAGTCTCGTTCACCATGGAAATGGGATTGCCGGGTGCTGAAGGTGGTCCTGATGAACGTACACACAAGTAAAGCACATCAGTTGAGCACTTTACCAAATCAAATCATCAAAACACAATAATGAACTGGATGTTTCAATGCTTTATTTTTATTAATATTTAGGAAGCCACAAGATCCTTAGCTTACTTGTGCACGCCATAGAGCGAGGGTCCAATTCGGCCCTGTAGAAGCCTCTCTCACACACACACTCAGAGGCCTTGTCCTGGTGGGAGTAGCTGTGTGGGGGGCACTTCACGCAGTACGCATCCATAGCAGAGGCCTTGTAGAAGCCTGACCGACATGCTATCGAAGAAGAAGGGGGGGAAATGTGATTGTATTCATATTCAGAAAAATGACTATTGTAATAAATTACATAAATTATAGATAATATATAAAAGTATAGATAATAAATATTAAATATTAAAAGACAGATAGATGTACACAAGTACACATCTCCATTCTGTTCAAAAGTTTTCACCCCCTGGCTCTTAATGCCTGGTTTTTCCTCCTGGAGCATCAGTGAGCGTTTGAACTTTATGTAATAGTTGCATATACTAAACAAAAAAACACAGCTGTGGATCATTCAGATAAGAACACAGTATTAAGAATCAATTTTTCATTTTTATAAATTCAACTATTATTATTATTATATTAACTATTACATTATTTCTCTTGTGGACTATGTGTAAACATCTTTTGTGTGAAATATCTTATTCAGGTCAGTACTAAATAAACAATAGCATGCATTTGGTATGATCCCTCTTATTTTGGTAAAGTAATTAACTACAGTATTTGCAGATTCTGCAAGGTGTATGTAAACTTTTGACTTCAACTGTATATACACTTATACTGTACATATATACACACACACATACTTGTTGAACTATTTCTTATAATAAGAAATTTATTGTAATTATATTTCTGATATATTTTTATATAAAACTTTTTAAAAATCATTACAATAAATCACTTAAATTATTACTTGAGAAAAAATATAAAAAACACACAAAATTAGATATATACATATGTATGTATAATAACTATCCTTCCATCCAACCATTTCCTTCTGAAAAGGGAAATACACACACGCTGGTGTTTATCAAATTAAAAATGAGGTCATTTGAATATAGAGATTCTTAAAGTCACAGTAGCAAACACAGCCTGTTGTGTACTAATAATACAATCAAGTGAAAAAAGGGTTCAAGTAAAACTACATTATGACTGATCTTGAAGCAAGAAACCTTACGCTTGACTGCCATTAGTCAGCAAGTGGAGGTTATAAGTTATTTCTTTTCATTTATAAATGGGAAAAAAATAAAGAAGCAATCTGAAGAGAGGAGTTTTGTGATGTTATCTTAGGGAGGTTTCCTATCAGCTCTCGTCACCTCCTCCAGCGAGGCATAACTAACATCCCGCTGCAGCATTAGCCTGACTGGAGGCACGTGGCGGCCGTGTTTTCTGTGTGTGTGGGTCCTGGGTTAAGTTGGAGCTGAGTGAGTGTGATTGGTGTGTGTGTGTGTGTGTGTGTGTGTGTGTGTGTGCGCGCATTAGAGCACTTTCCCTCAGGGACGCCATGCCAGACTCCCATGTTGCCCCTGAACTAAAAGCAAACCCTATATTTCTGCAAACACATCCCAAACATGTCAGTTCTTATCAGCCACAGCACAATGCCTCCAACATATTTCCCTTTTCAGGAGAGGCTTTTCAAAGCAATGATACTGAACTTTGGACCGTGCTAATGGAGTGTAGAGTGACGGCAGCTTTGAGAAGCAGTTAGAGGTGGATATAGGTTTGAGAGGTGTTGCTTGTAAATTTAGCAACGTTAAGTGACTCAACCTACACTGTAGTTAATAACTCAAACACAGATGCTGTCTTGTGCTCCAAGACAATTTCATTAGAGAAGTTAATATTCACCATGGTCATTCACCACTCTATATATAAATATAAATATAAATATAAATATATATATATATATATATATACACACACACAATATATTTTTACAATAGATAATATTTATATTGAAGCACATTA